TACCCCTTCTTCTACACAAAAATTCTGAATGGAATATTTTGTTGAAGGAGCCATATACATTTGGATTGCTCTTGAATAAAATAAACCCCAAACACAAGAGTTATATAAGTTTGATTTATAATTTGGGGAGGTTGAAAAAGGCCTCATGAAGGCCTGCGTGCACTGAGGTTATTTACAGGTATAAGGTTCACACTTGAAATACGGTCGGCTGGTGCTCTATACAATTGTCGCTTTTCGTTGCCGTATAGCTTCAGTAACACACACTGTGGAAAATTCTACACAGTTATTCAGCAGCACTGCAATGAAATAGATATACAGATGTCATTCTCTTTTCACTCATTAACAAGTGATTGGACAAACTGCAAGTGAATAGAAACGTGATTTCTATCCGCATACTTGGTCCTCTGGACCACGTGCCTTCCCATTGCTAATAAAGATAACGCCACCTATTTGAAGACATCGGCAGGCATATTTAAAACCCAAGATGAATTGAGCACATTTACTGCGTTAGAAGCAGTTGCTAAATTGTAAGTAACTAAGTCTTGTTGTATAACTGCATTGCACTCAAGGGAACAATTTAGGTTTTGAATTGTATATGTTGGTAAGTGAAAACTATGTAGACATTGATTATTTTTTCCCCTTGACCTAATCACTGTTTGCCTATGGCAATATCTGATATGTTACGTGTTCACCAAGAATTGTCTTGGGACCATAATGAGGCTTTTTTTTTTTTTTAGCTTCATTAGTAATCATAGTTATATTAGGAATAGAAGGCAATGGAGTAATATACTTGTACTGTACTACACCAGTTTTTCTATTTATTGTAAAGGTGGAAGTGAACTCTGTAGGCGGGAGCCTGAATTTGTAAAGACAGAGGAGGAGATCAGATTTGAATCTTTGTGCATTTTCAGCAAGAATTTAATTTTAAAAAAATGGAAGGCAAATGCCTATTTAGATTATTTATTTTTTTAGGTGTTGTGAAAAAATCCTTTCTTTGTTTCTCCTTATGTATTTGTAGTCTAATGATAGAACTTTTCTTGGTAATACTAGAGAATATGACAATGATGCTGAGTAAAATAAAATTTAGTAATGCATTTTTCATTGTCTGAATTGAACAAGCTGCCAAAAGTAAATGACATAAATAGTGAGAAGAATGTTTCCTCTTCTCCCCTTCCCTGGGAATCTGATGTGTATCACCGTTTAGACAAAAATTAAAAATTCCAACAGAGTACCTTCAGAAATGTGTTTAACTTTTGACATACTGTTGATTCCTTCAAATGGTAATTTTGTTTGTGTGCTATAATGCTTGTTTGTAGTGTAAGGGATTGTGCGAAAAAGTGTAAAAGATCGAACTTTTAACTTCTACTTAGAGGTCATGTAACTAGACACATGGACATGTAACTAGACACATGGACACTCTGCTTGTTCAATGAAGTGTTAGCAATTAAAAAATTCCCACATGAATATTTGCATGCATAAGAGGCCAAACTGTGGCCTACCTAAATATAGACCTGCAGTTTGGTATTTCTGAGAACTAATTCTAGGACAAAACACCTTTTCCTCCATTGACTTGTCTACTCTTGTGCGTTTTTTCCAGCTATGCAGCTGACAGCTGAGCAGTTTTTATTTTAGCTTAGAGCATTCATTTTGCATTATCTTTTAATATAAGTGCTTATTTTATGCTTTGTTTTTCAAAATATATGTGATGGAGTATTGCCTTTTTTCCTCCTGAACAGCAGTGACTCATATGAAAATGGACTTAGATGCTGCATGTGGAAGTGTGTGCTGTTGTTGCAGTGAGAGTGGTTCTCAACTTGTAAGATCCGTTAACTGGAAACGGGTGTGTAAAGAGATGTTCAACCTTGGAAATGTGACGGGACAATATTGCTTTGAAAAGATAGTTACCAAGAAATAGGGTGATGCTTTTGATGTTTGTATCCACATGAGGGAGACAGTGTGACAGGCTCATTTGCCTTAATTGGTGGCAAAACTTGCCAACCTGAAGCACAGTGTTGGAGAAATCACTGAATGCACTAGCTGTCTGTAACATTACTAGCCCCTTCTGCTATTAACTGATATGCCTATACAGATTTTATTTTTCCCTTCTTAGATGTAACTGAGATCGAGACTTCTGAATTGTAAATGGAGCCATCCAACACGCCTTCTGAGCTTTTTCTTTGAAACAAACAAAACCTTAGTGTGGTCATGGCTTTCTCTGTCTAATCTTTGGACTTCTGCCCTAATATGTAAAATAATATCTTAGTCTGTAGAAAACACTGACTTTTAACTCAGTGTTTTGTTGCTCAGCCTTTATGGAAATGTTACTGAAGGTGGCCAACAGAGTCAGTCAGCTATAAATGAAAGTCTCTTAGAACAGCTGACTTCAGTATGGTAGATGTTTCTTTTTTAGTTTGAAAAGAATCGTTCTTTGTAGCTTATTTAGGGTCATACTCTGCTAGGAAGTTCTGTAGTGATGAGAGGCTTTTCTCAAAAAACAGCCACTTTTGTTCAGGGCAGCTCCTAGGGGATCTGGAACCTCACCTGAAGATGCCTAGCATTACCCGTAGGTAGCACGAATTAGCAAATGTTTGGAAAATGCATAATTTTCCTGTGTTGTGCTTGACAGTATTGTGAAGATTTGGTTAGCAGGCAGACTTATTGTCGCTTTAGAAATTTATATGGACCAGTTGTAATTAAATCATTTACAGCAACGTCCTGTATTTAATTACTTATCGGTGGTATTGTTCCCTTTTCAACCTTGTAGAGGCTTAATTACAATTAGCTGATATGTTCATAAAGATCACTTTCATGGTTTAGCTAAAACCATGGCCAGTAAACTATTTCCTGATTTTTATTTGCTGTAGTACTGTTGAAATACTATATTTTGTTTTGAAGACAAGCCCACGTCGTTTATGAAGTGGCTGTCTGGGTTGGTAGATGAGGGGAAATAAAACCTCTAAATTATTTCTGGTAACTAAGATGAACAATCTGTTTTTGTAAATTTATAAATTTTTGTTTCAACTTCTCAAGGTGGAGCAACATAAATATTTAAGCAACTTTATTATTTCAGAGTTGACTTGGGATCTCTTGCTTTGCTTAAGCATGAAACAGATAAACTACCTTTTGTCCTGATCTTTTACACAAATAATCATGGTTGCTTACTTTTTTTTGCTTGTTTATTGTTTGAAGTAATTGGAAGAATACTGTGGGACAACTCTTTAATGTGCTTTTATCAGGTTTTTAACTGTTCATCGGGAGTGTTCCAAAAATAATACCAGGCACATCTAAATGTGTGGCAGAGAAGGAATAAGCTGTGGTTTATCCCAAATACACGGTCTGGAGGTACTCATTTCTTGAGGTTATCATGGTCTCAATCCCTAATTTTTAAAAGATTTATTTACTTTGCATTTTTGCATTTATTTAATATAATTCTATTAAGTCTACATCTCAAGAATTTAGTGTTTCTTTGTGCTTAGAATAGATACTTAGTCACTGTCTCTTCCTTCCCCTTAACCAAGAGTTAAAAATAAACCTATAAAACAATGGCAATATGAAACAACTCGCTGGCAGTAATCAAGCTGGAAGCAAGCTGGTACTTAACCAGAGGAATTCTGCTTTGGTGTGCACACGCCTTAGAAGTAGCTGTTGGAAAATTGAAAAATGAAAAAACGCATGTGCGGTCTTTTCAGGAGAAATCTTCCCTGTGAGTAGTAAAAGCAGCTTTTTTTTTGACAGACAAGAGACTGTGGAAACCTCGGTCTTGCATTAGGGGATAATACCAGCTTCCTTAAAATATAATTTCAAAGCTGAATTTTCACAAGTTCTGCATTTTTCTCTGCTTTATCCTTTTCCCCTTCCCCTCCTCCGGTCTTTCTCTAATATTCACTCCTGGCCCAAACTTGTATACAGCATTATTATAGCCTCATGTTATAAAACTGAAAATTTTACAATGAAAATAATGATTTGTAATAAAAAGCCTGACAGACTAATTACAGTATTGCATTAATTATTATCTTATTTCAGCTCTGTTCCTCTCACAGCTAATTCAGATCTGGGTTTTGGTGGTTTTTAAAACCCAATCGACACTGTAATTTTGAGAGAGAGAATATACTGGGGAACAATATATATAAATTCAAGAAATAAAAATTGTCAGATAAAACAGTTGTTTTCTAAAATGTTGCCTTGGACATGTTAGTAATAGAATGCAAGTAGTTCTGCTTAAAAGTGATGTTTTGTGGATCTTGTGGTGAGTGTAACACCTCATATAATACAGGTGTAACACCTTACTATATAATACAACTCTTGAAATCTTCCATTTCTGGATATCTTTATAGCATGTACTAAATAGCAGTCATTAATTCAGAAATTTGTGCATTGTGCAGCTGAGTTGGTACATCATTGATGTATTTTACGTTCTGAGTTTTATTTTTTCTCCCAAAATGTGTGCAATTCTTATAATGATTAAGGTATAGATTGATGTCAGTGCTACAGTATAGCTTCAAGACTGCAATTTGAAGCTACTTTAGAAAAATACAGTTCTTTAGACATGGTGAAGCTGAAGTTGAATGGAAGTCCTATTAGTGGTGAATTACATGTAAATATTAATAAGGGAAGAGTTTATAGCAAGTCCTGAGTTTGGGAAATTGAGCATGATAATTTGCTGAAATGATGTCTGTCTTGAAGATGTGCAGGTGCAATAATTTTCAGTTTTTATTTGAACTTTTAAATGGTGCAGGAGGTGCCGGGGTTAGTTTTTAAGCAAGAAAGTGTTTGGAAGTTTTGGCAAATATTGTAATGGATGTATGGTAATGAAAGAAGTTAAGATGAAAGATGAATTGGACTGAATGACTGTTCAGTCATTTAGGCTAGGCTGGTTGCGTGGTTTGGTTGTTAGACATCTCAAATTATGTTGCCTTAGTTCCTGCACTTGGTTGGCTGTCTTCACATCTTGACAAAGTTCTGAGAATTAGTTTCTGACAGTTTGCTTTGTTTTCCTTTTTCAGGGTGCTTCGTCTACAGACATTCGGAAAGCATATCGAAAGCTTTCACTAATTTTACACCCAGACAAGAATAAGGATGAAAATGCAGAAACACAGTTTAGGCAAGTAAGTGCAATGTGTGGCATTAAAAGTTTTAGGGAAAATAGAATCAGAATTTTTTATGATGATGTTGTTTTAGTAAGAACAATGGTACACCTTTGAAATGACTGAGTTGAACACTGAATTACATTTTTCCTGGTGTAGCTAGATTAAAACCAAGTACACTTTTTTGGAATGAATTTGTTGAATAACTCAGATTTAGTATTTACCTGTATATTAAAAATAATTTGAACATAACACTTAGACTTATACTCTTAGGAGGAAAATGTTTTGCACTTTATGTAAGACTTTATAAATAGTCTTTTCAAAAGCAGTAGGGAAAACTTCTGGTCAGTTCTCAATGCAAGTCATATTTAGGCATAATTTAATGAAAATAATTCATTTTAGTTTTTGAATTTTTGCCTTTTGAATCTTTACAGGGTGAAACATGAGACTGTTGTAATTAGCTCTGCCTTCAAAAATACACTTCTGATGACTAAATACAGGCTACTTAATTTCAGTAAGATTTTTAGGATGAAACAAATGATACCTTTTATTTTTAAGGTGTAACTGAGACAAGAGTCAGTTTGACAGATGTGAGGAAGGAAAAAACCAAATCTTTTGTACGAGTTGCTTGTCTGCGTATCTGATGACACTTTGTATATGAATATGTCACTGTTTCTTTTGCTTACTGATTTTGCTTCTTAGTGCTGTAGGGAAAAGTGAAAACTAGCAAAGGCCATTAGTTGTGAATGTAAAATATGATACTGCTATTCAAACTTTATAAACTCAATCCTAAAGTAAACTCTTTTGCGTGGTTTTTTTTTCTGTTTTTGTTTTAGTTGGTGGCCATCTATGAGGTTTTAAAGGATGAAGAAAGGAGACAGAGGTGAGTTAATTTGCACAGGTTCTTAAATAAAGTATTCATGCCAGTGATATATTGAAGTCCTATTTGGCTTAACTGTAACTTTTCAGATGATTTTTTGCATAATTTAAGTTTGTAATTCCTATGTAGCTGTTTAATTAAAGATTTTGTGTGGCTTAAAGGGGAAGCTGGTGTATATATTTGTGTGATATCCTGGTTATTCTTCTTTAAAACTAGTATTTGAAAAAACTTTAAAAGCTAGCTGTTATTTGGAGCAATTTTTTTCACACTTAACAATTATATCACTTTTTGTTGAGTTGTGTCAATTATCATTGCTTGCTTTATTAAAGCTGTGGTTGAAAATATAGGCCACTGATTCAACTGTCAGTTGTATCTCATTATATCAATAAAAGGTTTGTTGCATGATATTTAGGGATTATTTCCAGTGTATGTCTTCTTCAACATTTTCTGTTGCTTAGTGCATTGGTTTTTCTTTCAGATGTTTTATCTATAATACTGTAAACTTTGATATGCATAGCATAATTTTTTTTTTTAATAAATTATAGTTGTCCTTGCAGCTTCAGGAGCAGGTCCAGCAGTACCTGAAGGGGATAGGATTAAGAAATGAAAACCTGGGGCTGATCTGCTTTCTGGAAGACTGTTCTGAACTTCACCCCCACTAATGATTATCAGGAAAACTGGGGCACTGAACGAGTTTTGCTTTTGGGTTGGAGTTTTGGTAAATCATCCTTCGGCTTACAAGCCTTTAAACAGAGCTTCACAAGACATTTCTTGAAGGGTTTTTGGCTTTGTAGATGTCTTGGCAGGAGTCCAGGTTTTATAGTACAGACTATCTACTTTTTGATAATCCTCTCTTGAAGTGTCATGAAAATGTACTTCATAGGAAGTACTTTTGGAAATTTGTATTTTTTTTTATTTCACCTCTCACAAGACAATTTTGTTGTGAAGTTCTACTCAAGGAAAGTTTAAAAAAAAAATGCTAGTTACATAGTTGTAGACCACTTGAAACTTGAGTTATCCCCAAAATTTTCCCACCTTTTTGTTTATAACATTATTTACATACACTTTGTGATATTGCCTCTCTGGAACTTAGTTCCAGTATGTAACTTCTAGGAATTCCCTTGTAGCTGTAATAGCAGTATTTTGCATGGAACTGTGATGCAGTAGCTTGTAAAAAAAAATACGTTTTTAAGCCTTGGATACATTATGAATGTGACTAACTTACCCAACTTGTTTGTGAGAATATTGTTAATTAGTGCAGCACAGTGATTACAAATGAGAAGTTAAAGCAGCAGTAGATTATTCTAGCTTAGATTGATTTCATTGTCAATAACTTATTTTGTACGTAGACAATGTCATATTTTTCTTGCACAGTGTGGATGTATGGTTGATATTGCTTCTATAGTTGATTAAATATAAATATAGTGGATTAAATGGTGTTTACCTTCAGATAATTTTCTGGAAATAATATGCGGAGTTTATAAATAACAAGTAGGGTAGCAGAGCTGTATGGTCTCATTGCTTTGAGAAAACCTTTATTGATCAGATTTATTACACAGTCTAATGATAAACTCTCAGTTGAGCTTGTAAATGGAGGGTGGTCTATCCTGTAAGGCATTGCTGTAGCATGTCTTTAAAACAAGTCTTAAGTAAGTGCTCTAGGAACTGCTCCCCCTGTAATATTTTCTGGTGTAAGGGTTTCTTGCAGCTGTACGGCAAAGGAAAGGGGAGAGTCGTTGCTTTTTGGGATCTTCCTGCTTTAGATGTTGATATTTGGCTATGCATTGTGTGAGGTGATGGACCTAGTGGAAGAGGCTCGAAGTTTACTGTCATGCCCATGCACTGGGGAGAAGCTATGCTGCACCCTTTGTCTCTCGGCTTATCAACTCAGTAACTCAGTTTTATCCTGAATCCAGAGACACTTATTTGCGTCTGCTGTAACAAGGCTTTCTGCCAGATTTTTTTTTTTTCTTTCCCCTTGGCACTGTGGTAGTTTTTATTTCTAAAGTAACTCAAAGACCTGATGGGATGAGATGGAAATTAGTTCCATTTCTTACAAATTAGTTGGTGAGGAATTCTGGCAGTTTAGCTGGGAATCCCATCACAACTGGACACCTAAATGGTTTGGGGCACGGGATTACACCACCTCGAGAAGAGTGAGCTGCAGGCTTCTGCTTCTGTACAATGAAGTTATCCGTACCTGCCTCTTACTGTTCACCTCAAAGGTGATGTAATCCAGCATTGGTCCTGGTGTGCGTACAGAGAGTGGAACCAGTAAAGGCAAGAATAAGGTCCTGCACTGTATGAGTGAGCGATTAACTTATTCTGAAACAATAAAATTACACCCTTCCTCCATGTCGTGGTGAATGTCAGAGGTGTTAATTGTTTGTGTGCATGTAGAGAAACAGCGTTCTAAAAAGGCAGATCTGTTGGCCAGCTATATGTAATTATTTTTCTAAAACCTTTGTATTTTCATGTTTATCAGTGAATTTTTACTTTAGCTGATGGCAGAAGTCTTTCTTAAAATATTATAGTTCTTCTACTGACAATTATAATACAGGGCTTTATAATTAAAATGTGGTTTGCTTTTTTGAGAAAGTTATATAGTTGCTTGTGAAGTATACTAATATTATTATTAGTACTACAGAATATAGTAATATTACTGTGTCAGTACTTTTTTTCTTACACACTTTGACTGATACAAAATCAAAAGATTCTAATATTCTAACATTAAACATACATGCAGCATTGTTTAATGTAGCAGTGTTTAACATTAAATTAAACATACCTGCAGCAGAACGTAATATTTTGTTTTGTATACACACTGCAGAGTGCGTGAAATTCTACAGAAAAGTTTATCTTTAGGGTATGTAGAGATAGGTTCATTTCCCAAAATACAATTTACTTTAGGGCATTTATTGGTAAATCAACTTGACAATGATAAATTTTATTAGCCTTTGATTATTTTTAATTTATGAAAAAGTAGATAGTTTTAAGCACTTCTATTAATTGTAATTAGGCAAAAATCTTAGCTTTTAATTTCATTGTTTGTTACCATTTTAAGGAGCTTTTTTTACCTACCAGGCCTATCCTCTGTAACAATGTGGGCTTGATTACAGGAAGCATTTGCAAAGGAATCAAGATATACTTGTTTAGAGTAAGAAAGATGTTTATCTTAGCTCTCATTATAATTAAATGTCTGTATTCATAAGTATAAATTGTTCTGCCTGATGTTGTACTGGATGTCTTTGACAGCTTGAGGAAAAAAGGCCCCCAAAATATAAAACGCCAGTGCAGTCTTCCCATAGTTCAGAATAGATTTCATTAATTCAAGGTTATAGTATGTAAACTATAACAGATCTCTGAAATTGTTTGAAATATGAAATGCAGTGGCTCTCTTAAAGGGAAAAGTAAATTATAATTCTATTAAAATAGATGATACTGTAATTAGCTACTACAGCTAATGGATTTTTTTCTTGCAATGTAATTGATTCTACAAAGAGCTCTAAAAAATATTTCATGAAACTTCACAGAAGAATGAAATTTTAATGATCTTGCAATTGGTTACTCGTTAGTACAAGACTAACCAGTCTTGTATAGAATCCTGAGTTTTAAAATAAAGATTCAACTTCAGTTACAAATGGGGGATTTTTTTGTCTTTTTGTTTCTGTACTCATGCTTTGGGGTTTTTTGGCTTGCTGACTGCTACATTTCAGAGACAACTGGCAGGCATACTCATATGTCAAAGATTTGCTGCATTCTGTGTACGTATGTCTGAGGAAAAAATACTGCAGATGTATTTTTCCTTTTCAGCTTGATTTTTTTTTTTTTTTCCCTTACATAGAGTAACAATTAATATAGGTTGCCAAAAGAAGAATGCTTTGTAATTAAATTTTGAATGTAGGTCTTGATGCACATGGATTAACTATCTTTCACAGTTAATATAGGTTTCTATAAAGAAATTCTTTCATGAGAAACTTGGTTTTAATTAAACCACATCCTAAATTTGGAAATCAAGATTTAAAAATTATGGGAAGCTTCTGAGTTTCAGTAGGATCATTTTCCAGTTGAAAACCTAAAAATCGCTGATATCTTTATTTTTCAAATACAGAGCTTAATTACTCTTGAAAGCAGTGATTTATCTTTTAACAGTATATATTCTAAAAAGTGGGTTATAATAGAAGCTATCTTCCCTTAAAATGGCCAGTCGTGTGAGCCATAATGCTCATTGATAGTAAAATCAATAGAGCATTGATTCTGAGACTTAATCCTTGGAGACTGTTGTTCAGAACAGCGGACATAGCCTAGTAAATACAGAGTGCTGTTTAAAGTGTTTAATGCAAGAGACTCTGCTGTCTTAATTTATTTTTTCTTAACAGATAATTTATAATAGAACACGGTTGCCAAATGTTAGTTTGCAATCTTGTTTTACGTATTACTATATTGTTACCATTAGCATATATGGACCTTATTTAGCCAGTGCCCATATTTTCAGTACATCAATTAACAAGTCTTAGTGTGTAAGAGAGGCAAATGCTTAATAAATTTATAGTAGTATTATAAAAAATTCTTTCTTGATACTACGTATATTTCTCTGAAGCTTTCAAAGGAAGAGCATCTTTTGTGAAATCTTATCAACCTAATTTGTTTTAAAAATGGTTTTGTTTCTAAAATATTTTCTTGTATTCTAACAATAAAATGTTTAGCAAATGCATTATTATTTTTAAATGCTAAAACTTCTACTTAATTCTTAAACAAAAAGTTAAGTAGAAGTTTTAGTTTCGAAATAACATCCTAAGCAATTTTTCTGAACAGAGTTTGTGTTAAGGCATCAGTAGTTAATTCGTTCTGACTTACTGGGAAAGGAAAAAAGTTATTACTTCAAATTTTACAATAATGGATATTAATCTTAGTATGCTCATAATTGTCATGGAAGATAGAATTTTGTAATATGAATTTTACTTCTGGTATCATTCAGAACACTGCAGAATCCTGAGGTGTTAAGTCTTTTGCATAGAAATAACAGTGCCAATTTGAACAAATGTTTTATCAGAAGTCAGCTTTCCTAGATGCACTGAATTAAAGTATATTTTTTTAATTGAAAACCATTGCCTTTTTTTCTGCTTGAAAAAATGGATTTGCAAAATGAATTTGCTTGTGGAAATTTTTTTTAGTACATCTCCAAGGTATCAATTTAATAACTATCAAAGTAGCTAGTGCAGTTGTTGCATTTAAATTGATTTACATGTCAAGACTGGCAGTTTAGCAGCTGCGCTATTATTCCTGGATCGGTCAATTTACTTGAGAAAAACCTACTACTGAGTTCTACTGACCTGCATGACAATATAGGCCCTATTTCTATTCCTGTAATTAGGCCTGCGACTAACTCAGAATATTTTTAATTAAAATATTTTGGTCAATGTGTTGCACCAAATTAGGCCTTTCAGTGCAGATTTAATTCTGGAAATGGTGTGATTAGAATATGTAATGAGTTGTGTTCAATTTAAGATTAACAGGTTGTGCATCTTGAACATACAGGTTTTTGAGTCTACTGTAGAGATTTTTGTTTGAAACTTTACTCTGAAAAGTTAACAAATAGGAAAATCTGTTTTGGATGTCTGCAGTTTGTTTATTTTTAAATTAATGGTAACATACTGTAAACAAAAGACCCCAGACATACTAAGGTATTTCAAGACATTTGTGCGAAGAAAAGCTGACAAATTGTCATAAAATGGTTTCTGTGCAGTTAGTAGTGTTAGTAAAATTAAACAGTTTTAAAAATAGATTGATTTTGGAGACAGCTTTTCAAATAGAAAATTAAAATTGTCTAGCTGTAGTGAACTTTGTTTTCTAACATCAAAATCAAGCCTTTAACTTAAATTCGTATCTGACACAGAATGGATGTTAAGTCTGGCAGCATTTTTACCTAATGGATATCGTGCTACTAAAGGACAAAACAAAAGCAAAGATACCTCTCCCCTCCCCCCAACACTTGTGCTTTTAATTTGTAAAAGAAAAAAAAGGTTTCTAGTGTTTGAGACTTTAGTTCTTTGCTACCTATTTAGTAGTTTGTGGTTTGTTATTTACTTCTACCATGGAGACCTGCCCACTGATTACTAGGCAGGTAGAACACATTTACATTTCTAGAAGGCTGTTGTTTCAGAATTTAATGAACTGGGGGTGGGGGGGTGTTGCAGGAGCAATCAAATTACACCCCCCCACACCCCCCCAGAAGACTAGATACATTTCCCCAGCGTTTGGTTCTGGATTCTGTTTGTTTCCAGATGCAAGCCTAGCAGCTGACAAAACAAGGCATTGCTCTATTTAAAAAAAAAACAAAACCAAAACTAAATTATCTTTTGTGTGTGTATTATACAAACAGTCTGTGGATTATCATTTGTTTTGTTTTATAATTGGATGGTTTGGCTTATTTAATTTTTAGCTCTCCATGAAAGCCTGTTATATTTGCTACTGTAGGTATGATGATGTTCTGATCAATGGACTACCAGATTGGCGACAGCCTGTATTCTACTACAGGCGGGTGAGAAAAATGAGCAATGCTGAGCTGGCATTACTCTTGTTCATTATACTCACAGTGGGTCATTATGCTGTGGTTTGGTCAATCTACCTGGAAAAACAGCTGGTAAGTATTGGTAATAAATCAAACTTGCTTCAATTATTAATATTGAATTTCCTGCAGAAGTTTGCATATTATAGGGTTCTCTACCGCTTCCCCTGTTTTGAATTTGGATTTTTCATATTCTAAAAGGATTATATTTAAAATGGTGATAATTATAGAGTGAGATATTCAACATATCGGAAATAGTAATCTAAAAACTACTTAGTTTTTCTAGAATTGGTAATAAATAGCAAGAGATGGTTCTTTTTTTTTTAACTGCAAGGAAGAAGAGGAATAAAAACTGTTCTATCATCTATTGACACAGAATCATATGCTACTGTAGTCACGTCTATGGTTTTCCTAAAAGTTGTTTAAAAATAATCAGTTTTTATTCATTTAAGTCATACTTGCTTTGCCTTTGTTCTTAGATAAATGCTTTTTTGTTTTGGGTTTTTGTTAACAGGATAGGCATTGGTAAGCAGTATAAACCACATTATTTTTTGATTATTTTATTTTCTGTCATATAAAAATCTATTGCACTTAGTAGATGAGAAATAAACCTAAGCATAACTTGAAAAATATTCATACATTAGCATCTATTTACTTTTTTTATTTTCCACTGCATTATTGAAGTTGATGAATGAGAAAGGAGGCAAGTTGAATGCTTTCTCCTCTTAGAAAACTTTGATTGCTATGGAGATACACATGAGTGACAGAACTGGACTTCATGTGTGTTTAAAGACTGGATACCATGGCAACAGTTATTGTTAAGATAGATCATTTTACTTAATCATGTAGGACCCCTAGATACATTTGCATAAATGCTACTCCACTGTTTACCCTTCACAGAAGAGTCCCAGTAACATTTGTGGTTTACATGTTAATGATAACCTGTAACCGTAGTTCTTTCTACATCAAGGATGAACTGCTTAGCAGAAAAAAGAGGGAGAAGAAGAAAAAAACAGGCAGCAGGAGTACAGAGGAAGCCAAACTTGCTGCTCTAGACAAAAATGAAAGGTGGGAAGGAACTCTCGTTTTCCGCATTTTCAGACATTTTATCAGCTACTGGTTTAGTTCTATCATTTTCTCCTTGCATCTTTGAAATATTTTATGAGAAAAATAGCTGTATTTGTAGTAACAGCCATTGCTGATATGAAGTGTGCCAGTGTAGATGTGTTTTCAGGTTTTGATTTGTAAATAAATGTGTGGAGATCAACAACAATTGAAAGATAAAGGCTGAATTAATGGTATCTGGCTTATAGAAGGGTATTATTTCTACAAGTTGATTTTAGAAGATTTTACAACTTTTTCCATCTTTGAAGATTTTTGCCTTTGATTACAATTAACAAATTTCAATTTATTTAAGCTTTAGTTTATTACCATACCAAGCAAGGAGTTCTTACGGGGTTTTTAATGCTTGTCTAATTTAATGCTTTTTATCTGATTAACTTAAAAACAAGTGTGTTGGTAAAGGCTTCTAACACCATTGTTTGTTAAGAAACACATAGGGAAATAGTGACTTTCAGGACACTCCGAAAGATACCACCATTTCTTCTATTGATTCATAGAAAGAAATAAAGGGTTTAAATAGTTCACACAGCAGGGGCATGAACTGGATCAATGCAGGATGGAGATCAGAGACCATTCTGCCTGTCGTCTTTCCTGATGACATCAGTGAGTAATGCTCCAGTGAACTGCAAATGACATTAATTTTTATGTATTGTTTTGTTTATGCTACAGTCTTCATATCTGGTTGTCAGCACTTGTGAACACTTGGTTGAGGCTTGAGGTTTTTTCAGTTCTGTTTTTTTTTTAAACTGAAGTGATTATGTGGCTTACGAATTTGTTTTCTTGGAAGGAAAGCCCTTTTGAAGAGATGAAAATACAGTGATGATTAGAAGTTAGCTGTTATGTATTTTGAATTAAATATTCAAAATGTATCTTTAATATTGTGTAGTTACACATTTTTATAGGAGTTGACAAGTGCTAATCATCTTTAAGAATAATGGGAAAGTTCTGACTTTGTGTGGCAGTAATGAAAAACTTTCAATTTTATTTGACTGCAGAGTACTGGACAAACCACAATGGCATGACTTACTTCCATGCAAACTAGGAATATGGTTCTGTCTCACTGTGAAAGCTTTACCTCAGCTATTCCAGGTAATAGTAATGATTTTAATTTATATTACTTTATTTTTCTTGATGGTGTTATTATGCATAATCAGATGTGTAGCACTTGTTCTTAAGAATTTTCTGGCTCAAGTGCATACAATACACACACACACACACATACACACACAGAGATATATATATATAGATAAATAAAAATTACTCTTTGGAGGCAAATTTAATATTGTAAATTCATCAACATGAATATATTTTAAATGGATATTAATCTTAACGTGCTAGGGAATTCAGCAGCGGTTCCTGCTAGGCAAAACTGTAAGAATAAATGATGGGAGAGGGATGATATATATACATCTAATTAGGAATAGCAATGTCTTTTAGGTGATCTGTTAACAAAAGTATTTTTATTTCAAATAAACAAATGCTGTGTTTTCAAAGCAAATATTAATATGTCATTTAAATTTGGGGGAACAGTGAAATTACTTTTTCTGATTGAGTGAGGTTGGTTTTTTTGAGTCACTGCATAATGATATAAATTGATACCTGAAATTACTAAGGTAAAGTAACAAAGGTATGGTTGTAATTTATAAACATAAATATGGCAGACTTGCCCACAATTGTGTTTTTTTTAACCTAACACTATGAACTGTAAAATTTAGCTGATACTCATCCAGTGTAAGTATTGTCAGATCAGTTATCAGAATAAACTTTTTTAATATCACATGCTCTTTCTTTTCATTTCCTTTGAATACACCCATTTGTTTTTAATACCCTTGTCACTGCTAATGAATATGGATCAGGGAATGCAAGGTGGATTTTACTTTGGTTTACAGAAATATTGAGTGTTAATTATGAAGTATAAATAGTATAAATGGCATCAGTGTTCAATTTCTGTGTTCAAGCTGGAAAAAGCATGTAATTCATAATTCCTAATCTGTTAGCAAAAGGCTTGTAAAAGTTATAAATGCAATAAAGTCTGGTCTTTCAGCATCCATTTTTATAGCCTTTAACCTTTCCTACGAATAGATGCAAAAGTTAATATCTCTTCCTTTTTTAAAAGTTTCATCAGAACTGTGTGGCTATTTTATTAAAGAAACCTTTCTTTTTGCAAGTTTTAATCAAGCATCATCATTTTTGCTTTAAAATCAACTGTTGTGTCCAAATTAAGCTTTGGTATTCATCCCTCATTGCGGTGAGTCAGATGGAAAAGAATTAAGTTTGGCAATTGCTGTTGCTGCATTTTGAAACTTTCTTCATAATTATAGTTCTTTCCCTTTTGCCTTAATTGCAAAATATTTAAAATATTATAGAATATAGTAAGATTCATGAAGAATTTTAAATTAGGACTTCTTGTTTAAAATTCTCTCTAAGCTGTCATTTTCTCATTTTTATGACTTTAAGGTAGTCTGTTAAGTCAGTATAACGGGTTTCAGATTTTCTGTTCAAAAAGCAGCTCCTATGTCTGCCAGAATAGGCAGAAAAGATGAATACAACGAAAATGATGTTTCATGCTTTGTAGACACCTGGCCAATGCCTCTTGCTGTGAATTTTAAATCCATTAAAATAGTGGTAGTGGGGAAAAGCTATCCAATAACTTGTGGAAAATTGGAGACCAGAAAGCAGGGATTTGGTGGCAGGGGAAGCAGGATGTAGAGGAATTCAGAGCTGGAAGGCTTTGGAGCAAGGAGGAAGCGAAGAGATGGGGTTCTAGGGTAAATTGCCCCATATGTAAATTACACTATGGCTTAACTCCAGGGTTTGTTTTGTTGTTGTTTAAGATGACCTGCCGATTGTGTCAGTTAAAATGCAATAAAATATAAGTAATCTTCAAAATTAAGAATATTCAGGACTTCAGGTACCTGAAATGAATTACTGTAGCTTATTAGTTAACAGTACTTAAAGAAGTATTACCTCTTCTGAAGAGCTTAAGAGCAGCAGTGACCTCATGTTGGAGATGTTTTCTGAATGACAGTGCAAAAGATACCTTTTATGTTGTAGCTAACTGGACAGAGAGACCTCTGGGCTCTTTTTGAGTTGTATTTAAGGTTTTAGCAAGTTCTGCCTTAGTTGCAATTACCAACATACAGCAAAAAAGTAGCTATACCTACATGATTATATCTTGGTACAGAGATCCTGTTTTGAATATAAGTGCTTTTCTATATTCTACACTAACATAGGCTTGTGATTTCAGAGTATTTCAGGCTTTTAGTATAAGTAGAATCACTAGGGCAGCTATCTGGAAGACAGGACTCCTACAGATATTGAGTAGTGTTACATGTGCTAGTCACGCGTGCAAATTATTTAACAAGGTGTTACAGTGGTTGACATAAGGATGGCTACTACAGATTTTAGTTGTTTATTGAGTTAATCTAAATCATTTCTTTAGCCATTTAAGAGCCAACAAGTTATTTTCAAAGCTAGCTGTCATTCATCTGCAACTAATGCAATTGTAGATTAACTTCTAAAAATGCATCCATATTTAAATGAACCCTGTTTGGGACAGAAAAGGGTAAGAGTTAGCAATACTTATAATTAAATGTTGCTTCTGCCACTGAGTTTTTCAAAGCTCTGTCAGTGAAATACCTGAACTGCTTCCTCAAATTAAGGAAACAAAACCACCTGCCTGTGTACACGAGTTCTTCCTCAAAGGAAACTTTATTAAAAACAAAAAATCCCCCATAAAAGCAAACCAACATAAAAAAAAAAAACGCAACAAAACAAAAACCACAAGGAGAGGTCAATTTAAACTTTTTGCCACTTCTTGTATTGATTCCTTTTACCTAGCATCCATCTCCCCCCATTAGTTAGTGTGAATATTCACTTACAACAGCTCTGTCTCACAACTCAGGTTGCTGAGCTTCTGCCCATGCCTGGCTCTCATTTATCCAATTGAGTGTCTTTCTCCTACTTCCCCTCCTCCTTCAAAATGTCAGATTTCAGAAGGAGGCACTTAAAATAATTAAGGTGGGCCTTTACTGAAGAAAAATGCTTTGTTTGCATGCCCTTGTGATGGCCTATGCCATTTTATCGTGGTCTGCATTTTATGTCAAGAAACTGGAAGAAAAATGGGTGAGAGGAGGATGAGAGATACTAAAAAGTGATTGTTTTTTTTAAACTGTTGACAATTGTATTTTGAGAGAGACTACATAGGCTTTTATATCCACACATTTAGTTTAGTTAAATTTGGGGGTGAAAACAGTGTCCTTAAGCTTGTTTGAAGAAGCAAAGGGAAAAGAATACATAAAATGTATCATAAATCAAATATCTGTGGTGTGAAAGAAACATTAAGTGGAGTGTAAATTACATTGACTATTACCAAGTTTAATTCTTATAATGCAGGCTCAAGAAAAAGATAGAAAAAGAATGCAAATTGTTTCTAAGGTCACTTATAGTTTACTCTTTCATGAGGATGACCTGGAAGAAGGCTATATGTTTAAAAAAATAAAGAAAAGGAGAAGGAGGGGGGGATGGGACCAAACAAAACTCAATTAAAATGCTTATTGGAACTGAAAATTGTTCTAACAAAGAAATAAACCAGCTAAATATAGTGTGCAAGAATTTCAGTTCAAATGGTGAATGTAATACAGAATAGACAGTTATGTTAAGTATACTTTTCTTTTGTGGGAGAACAGTCATATGTAAATTGCAGTTTATTCCCAGAACAGCTGGCTAGAGTTTTTTCTTTGGATGTGCAGACATACAACTTCAGAAAAGTCATCTTTCTTAAAAATGTTGTTAATTATTCTTCACAAAATATTTCCTTCAGAAAACTGAAGATAGGAGTGCTAGTGTTTCTGTCAACTAATTTTCTTCCACCTTGATGTGGTGAAGCTTAGCAATGAACGTCTTTATTTTTACATCAACTTCATTAATGCTAGTCAGCACTAGGAAATGTTTTTTATTAGTTAAATTATGAGCCTGCTGTTGTCCTGAGTGTAATGAAGCAGAAAACATTTTTGTTTGTTTCAGACAGAAATGGATTCTTGTTAAGAAAATAAAGTTTCCTGTTATCTTCTATCTATAATAGTGTAGGTGTAGCGCATACACCCTAGCAGTGAACAGTTGGAAGAACTTCTGGTGGCTCACCAGTAACGGGAAGGCAGTTCAAGCTCAATACATAGTTGCACTGGGTATAACCTAGTGAGATTATCAACAAAGCTTTCAATTACAATTGAAACTTTTGTTTATAAAGACCTTTGTGTAGCATGAAGTGAATTAAAACAAAAAGGCCAGTAATTTATTTTTATGTAGACTACCAGATGGTAATTACTGTAGCTGATTTAGTAGCCTGGAATAGATTCAAACTAGTGACCCACAGGTGTTTAATTTCTTGGCATTTTTTCCTCAGGTTTTCTTTTAATCCACGATTACATTTCAACACCTGTTTAGAGATCGTTCAGCTTTGGCCTTAAACGGATTGGCAATGTGTCATTAAACTCAAGAGGCTTTGCCAGCAGGGCATCTCCTTTGGCAAAGTTAGCTTTTAAGCAAGATTTGATTAGGTCAGCAAACATTTGTGTGGGTTGTTTTTGTCTTCACATACGACTTTATATAAAATCATCGTGTGAGATTAAAATAAAATTTATTGCATTTAATAACATATGCCTTAAAGAGACTTTTTTGAAGGGATTTATTCAAGTCAGTAAGGTTAAATATCTCCTTAATTCCCAGCTTTACAGGGTTTTGACATGTCCCAACTTACTGTACAACACCAATGTTGATATAAGTTGTGGGGAGCAAGCAATTGCAGGATGTGTGGCACGAGTGATTGCCCATTTGCTCCCTTTCCTGCTATTTCGCAGCTGTTGGGAGAACCAAAGTAGGGATGAAGCTCTTGACCCTGAGGTCAACTAGAAGCTTAGAAGCAGGTCAGAGGAGAGTGGATGGTAAAACAAGTATTCTGGGTGTATGCAAGTGAGCAAAAATAATTTGTGTCTAACAGGGTACTGTCTGAGGCTCTGGAGACAAAATGTGCTTTCCTGAATAGTAAAAGTTTTAAGTAAATGTAAGACACTAATGAAATTTGCCTTTAATTGCCTGTTGTTCTGTGGCAGCCAATTTTGTTCTGCTCCTACAAATCACTTACTGTATGTCTGCATATCCCAGCACACGCGTTAGAGGAGTGTAGCTTCAAGAGTAGCTCGCGTGTATGAGGCGATACTGGCTCTCAATGGTACTGTTCTGTTGTGGTATGAGGCTTCACGGGGTGTGAATGGGTCCCAGGGAGGCCTTGCAGCATTGGCCTCAGTTCCCCCTTCTGGCTGCCTTTGTTTCACCAGTGTGGATGTGGAATACCCAGCAGATACTGCATTAGCACAGCCTGCTGCTGGTCACCTGGTGCATCCGAGGCTTGGGAGCCATGCTTCAACTGCCCACAGGCTGTACACGTCTGAAGAGCCCAGCCACACCTGGTATTATTCCAAGGTCAAAGCATGATTTTCTGATTATAAAGGAGGAAGTAATGCAATTCCTATTTATTTACTAGTTTGCCTTTGAGTAAACATGTAAAAATGCCAGAGAGAAATATAAATCATAATGTTTAAATTTTTTTTTAACATTATTTCTTACCATAACACATTGATATTACTAGTTTATAAACCCATCAAAAGAGTGTTTTTGCTGTGGTATAATGGCTGGCATTTTTATTGTGTAGAAATAGTAAATTGCAGGGCAGATGTTGCTGTAATTTTAATTTAACTCCTTTTTCTCTCTCTGTTTTTTGTACAAATTGTACAAGAACACTGTACTCAAAAAGACAAAAAATTAGTTAAAGAACTTCATACAAATATTTCTTTTTAAGTCTATAGATTGATGTAATAAGAATTAATGCAAAGAAAATTATTTCAAGATACTGGTTTTAAGTATGCTTGTGGGAAAGTTTCCTGTTAACTGTAAATTCTGAGGGGATGCATTTTGTTTGTAAGAGTCCCTCACCCAGAGAAGTAAAATATGAAGCTGATTCTGTCACAAAATATGTAATGAAGATTCACATATGGCCAATACAGCAAGTTGTTTCCAATGTTTGCCTTATTTCTCCTAATCTCCGGTCTTTCTAAGGTAGACCAAAAAGCCAGGAAGATTAACTGGAGGGGAAAAAAAAAACCCACAAAGCAAACAAACCAATAAAACCTCATCACCTTCCCCAGAAGTCAAGGAGAGGCCGGAGTGGCTGAGTCTTACTCAGAACTGAAGTTTTTAGTTTCAAAATTAGTACAGTTTGAATAAATACTGTATCTGTTGATTTAAAAACAACAAACAAACAAAACAAAACAAAAAACCTGAAAATTCCACAAAAAAACCCAACCAAAACCCCCAAACAAACAAAAAACCCCTTAGAAGTCCAGTATCAAGAATTTCTGTATTTCTGCGTAACTCAAGTGCAGCTTTGTCTTGGCTATCTCAAATTTTTTGACAAGAGATGATACTGATACAAAGAGGAACTGACATACAAGAATTTTTCAATATTCCTGGTTCTTAATTTTGGGTAAAATACTGAAAATATATTAATGAAGTGTTTGTCCATAAATTTTATTTTTCTTCCACAACACTTTTTGAAATTTTTGGTTAAATATGAGGGTAATCACAGGAACTTCCTATACGTGGCAGTTGAAATATAATTTAGAGATATTAATAGCAGAATTTTGTGTTTCTAATACACTCTTTTTTCATTCTGTTCCTTTTTGGAACGTGTACATTTGAAATCATAGTATAATAAACCAGCATATATTATTCTTCATTATTCTTTTTACTTAACTACATGCGTAATACTGCTTTGATGGTGAAGAAAAGTAATGTATTTGCGCTGATGTTCTTTTTTGAAAACTTCTCAAACTCCTGCAAATGAGAACAAAATATTTCTGATTAGGTAAGCTGGAGCTTTTAGTTAGAACAGTTCCAAGCTTTGTATTTGTGTGTCTCTTTCCTCTGTCCCTTTCCACCCGCAGAAGGACAAAAATGTTGCTTTTCTTATGTTTATTACCTATTGAAGGTGAAATATACCTCAGGTATAAAATTTTGATGTTGCACATATTTTGAGCTGTTTGGAAAAAGGTCCTCTAGAAGAAAAATCATTGCTGAATCTTGGGGAAGGAGCATTAGATTGGAAGAGGCGGGATCTATATTGCCAGTGTTTTTAGGGCCCTAAAATGTTTGTATTGAGGCAAAATGACTGCTTAAATGTATCACTTCGGGAAAGTAAAAAATCTGAACATAAATCTATTTTGAAATACTCTTACTACCAAAACTGGATATGCTTGAAAATGAATATTCTTGTTTAGACTGATACTGTTGAAAACTAATGAGGGGTAAATTGAAATGTGCTTATTTATGTTAAGGCAGAAGTTTTCTTCAAAGAACTTCCTATTTTAAACTCTTTTCCAGTGTTTCTTTCATTTTGACTTATAAGGTCTAATACCCATATAGTTTGTGTCTGTGGCTAAAATCTTTACTCAGGTATGTCTTTTAATTTCTCTTTACAACCTGTAGAGCCATTTCTTACGCTTTTGTGGGAAGGATTTGATTTTCAAATCTTCAAAATTCATTTTGATCAAATTTTTTTGTTTTTTTCTTTGCTTTACTTTATATGTATAAATTTTTATGTGTGCTTCAAAATGTGCAGTCTCCCCTTTTTTTTGTGATTATGGTATCAGCCATAATAAACTGTGATTAATAAGATAAAAGTCTAATGTTGCCTTTGTTACCTTGATATTACTCCTTTTGCAGTGATAATCCATTTTATATCTATAAAGCAACAATACTACCAAATTTCATTTACGTGCTTCTGACTAGTTTTCTTTGTTGTTCAGCTATTGTGTCTCATTTTCATCTGAGCCACATTTCCAATTGTTCCGTGATTGACATGCTGGAGAGATTGACAGTTACCCCCTAGTGCCTGCTGTCTGGAGATCCCACAAGCAATAATGGATTTTACACCAGAATTTAGCATCAAATATTGGCTTTCAGTGTCAAATGGGTTAAATTTAAATGCCGGTTAAATGTAGCCATTTTGAAATCATAGCCTTAAACAAAAGCATTTTTTTGGGTATCAGTATATCTGAGTCCTGTGTATGCAACGCAACCCAAACGTCTCAAACTTATAGCTGAAGTTAACCATTACATTTATGACTGTTTCTGTTTCTTAATGATGCATATAGTCCAAATCTGGAGAGTACAAGGAAAGTTTCCATATGTGGTAGGGAATTCATATTTCAGGTAAACCGAAAAGAGAACCAATGCTGATCCTAATTTTGTCATTCAATGTAATAACATAGAAACTGAGTATGTTTCCTCAAAGCTTTCATATCTGCTGTTAATGGTAGTCCTCCTGTACCTACACAGGTTTTTTAGCCCCAATTCTACTAAAACCACCAAAACCCCCCTCTTCCCCATCCCCCCAAACAAAACTGTAAGCATGTGGGATGCTTTCAGACTTGTAAAGGTGAGACGTCTCCAAAACATTACAAAGTTCTGCTCAGAGCTGGATCATGATTGTGTGCTGTGTTGTCCCACCTCCCTCAAGTATCTTTGAAGGGGTAGATGCCAGTATAACGCAAAGAACAACAGTTGTGTCGTAGTATCTTTGCAGGAAGCAATGTTTTTGGATGACTTCCATTAAAGGCAGCAATAATGACTGCTTAACTCAGGTTTTATTTTCAAAATTTATTAAGATGTCTTATTTCATTTTTAATGAGACCAGGTTTTGTTCAAATTTATGGGATTATAGTTGAAATTATAAAAATATTTACTGATGTTTTACAATACATTCTACATTAAAATTTAAATCACCCTTTATATGTAAAAAGTGGGGCCATTAATAACCAGAATAAAATTATTTTTGTCTATAAAGAACTAAAATTAGGTTTATCTAATACTATAATTTTTATTTAATACAATAGATGTTCTGCATGCTTGGAAATTATAAATAATAATTTGTTTATTTCAGCATTTCTATTATAGATTCATTGTTTTTAAGTGAGTATAGAAATCTTTTAAACTGTAAGTGAGAGTAAGAAAACTCTCCATACCTCTTATTTCAGCAATCTGGTTGTTCATATTGGAAAGCTTTCAACGCAAATCTATAATTACTAATTCATCAGATTTTGGAAATGTGTAACTTACTGTGAGATTTGTGACAGGACTTCTAGTTTTACGTTTAAATTTGCCAAATAAATTTCAGATTAGAATCTAATCTAATCCTTGGAGAAAAAACTTAATATATATTTTCCACACTTTAATAGCAATGTAGAAGTTGGTTTAAAAAAAAAAGGTGACGGGGACGGGACACACGACACAAGTTGGGTTTTGGAACGTGCAGTTAGTGTTACCATAATGAGTTCACCCTAAGAGGACTGCTGCCTAGCAGTTGCCTCTGTTTGTCCCTGTACACACTAGTTAAAAACTTCTCTTTCTTGAACTTCCAGATTGATGATATGAGCAAAGTGGGTACATGGCCTCTTACAAAGCTGTAGGGAGTGATCAGAAATGTTTTTCTAACTATTTTGCTTTTCAGGTTGTCGATGAGCATCATAGCCTATAATATCAATGCTATTACATTTGAACATTTATTACACAAAAATTCTACATTCTAAACAAATACTTTCTATACTGAAAATTACTGTAACTCAAGCAAACGAATATATCTTAAATTTTTTTGCAAGGTTAATTGAGAACTTAAAACAGAGCCATTGCAATAACTTGTTTGTATAAGGATGCTAATGCCATTGCAACATTTTCTTAAAGGATGCCAGACAATTATATATAGAATATAAAGAAACAAAAATGAAGGCGAAAGAAGATGCCCTGGCTAAGGCTGAACTTGAAACACTTCAGAGTGAGTTTTTACCACTGTCTTAATAAACAAAGATGTAATATGATATACCTACTACACAGGATGTATGTGAACAAACATTTTCATAATCTTCTAAAATATGTGCTTTATGTATTTTTGTACTGCTTTTAAATTTAAATAAGCTTTGAATTTTCTGACTGATTTTGCAGTAGGATGCTGGTTTGTTCCTATAGAAGCATAAAACTCAGGTGGTAGCTATATAGTAGCAACAAAAGCATAGTTTGCTAGAAATGTTGCTTTACAAGAGAGGGAAATCTCAAATGTATAGATCTCAAAGTACACATTTTCAGAAGTGACCTCTTGCGTTTTGAGCATTCTTGTATTCTATCTATAAATATTTTTTAAAATAATATATTTAATAATTCTTTTGTGCTTATTCAGTTGATTTTTATGATAGAAATTGAACATAATTTGAATTTCCAAAAACATGGATGCAGACTTCAGCGATGGATTCGTGCTATTGTTGAAATAAATGCCTTAAAGTCTTTACACTCTTATAGAAGACCAGAGAAGGCAATTAGCATTTCCCTTAATAAAGTATTCAGAATAATTATAGGTGACTTTTCCTTTTCTTCTTTCAGTTATTTGCGTTTGCCAATGATTAAACTTACCCTCTTCTGAAGACAATTTTAAAAGTTTTTTTTGTCTCTGTTTGTATGTGCGTGCTTGCTTTATTTACTGTACTTAAGTGCATGCTTTTAAGTTCCTTTATTCTGACAAGTGCATTGAGTGCCCTGTAATAATTTACTAGCTTTGAGTATGCATAAGCCTTTAGGCACTTAAAAAATACAACTGCATTATTTATATTTATAAAATAGCTTAATTTTGTAAAATCAGCAAAGATACCCAGTTTCAGCGATAATTCCTAACTTATCTGTAGCTGAATCTATTTTGAGAAAATGGATAACATTCAGCACGTCAGCGAGCATCATGGACCCAGGCCAAATCTAGCAAAATAGGGCATTTAATGCTTGTTAGGGAAGCCTGCCATTATGTTTGAGATACCTACCACAAAATGGGCCCTTGAAAAGGGTCTTGACTCGGGTTATTAGAAACTTGTTAAATTGTCAGATAGTAACGTGTTGCCATTGTTCAAAATAGCTGGCATACATTCTTCATTGAAATCTGTGAACTACTGTTTTAAATGGACTGGTTTTTGAAAACAGAAGTGCAAGTGAAAGTATAAAGTCATTAAAATTGTAGTGTGCATGTTCCTGTGTTTCACTGAAAGACCACGTGTGAACTTTTCAGTATTTCTCCTCTGCCAGGTGTCACGTGAGAGTCACTTTTTGTGTGTGTGTGTTACCTCCAGTAGCAGTGCCCGCACGTGAGAGGTGTGGGTTTGGCACACTTCCCTCTCCAGGTCACCCCTGACCTCTGACAGAAGCACCACCCTGTCACCTGTCATGCTGCTGGGTGTGACATGGCGTGTGACCCCCATGTCTGCCAGGTGACCCAGTGTCACTCGCGTGCTCAGGGTCCAGTCCTCACCAGTCTCACTGGTTGGCATCCTGCCCTCCCTCAGTAGACTTGCTGGCAGGGAGCAAGAGGAAGGATTGAGAGTCACCACCTGTAATTAGCAGAGTTTGAAATTTGGCACGGAATTAATTTGGTCAGCCATAGCAGTGCTATCGCTGGGCAGCAGAATGAGCTGTCAGTTAACTTCTTTTAAAAGAAATAAGACTCCCAAGAGAAGAACAAGAGATGCATCTATGTTGCTGTAGGCAAAAAAAAAATTATGTAATTTTTTCCTCAAGCTTGTATGCACAGCATCTGTTAAATTTGCTTATTTCATTATATTGTTCTGCATTGTCACTTCACAATTAGCATAGAAAGGTTGCAAATCGCCAAATGTGCATTTTGTTTGCCCCCATTCTCCTTAATTTTAGAGACCATCCATGGAATGCGAGTTCATAATAACAGTTCCATCTACCTAATTGAGTAAATGTATCTCATGCCGATTAACAATAGCTGTTTTACAGTGCTTGTTTTTTCATGACCTAATTGCTAGTTTACCCCCACGTCTGTCTGCTTTCCTTCTGAAATTGTGCAGTATTCTGTAGGCGGTTTGAACTAAAACCAGAGAAGGGTACTGGCTGAGGAAAATATAATTTGCGAAGTAGGAGAGAGAGGACAGTATTGAGATGTCATTCAAGTGCTATATTTGGTAAGGAGTGTGAAAAAGTAATTTCTTGGTAAGTCAATATTATGCACAATTTTGATTTATTTTTCCGGCACTTTTGCAGTGTTTCTTATCACTGCTCAATCCATGCAAAACTGTCATTACTACCGTAGTAAAATATAGCAACTTTACTTTACCTTACAAAAATATACCAACTTACAATACAGACCTTATGTTTCTAGGAAATGTGGTTTTGTATGGAATTACAGATAACTGGGTGTTTATGTACAAAAATAGAAATGGTTTGCCTTACATTTTCTGATGCCCTTTTCACATTTAGATACCAGAACACAAAATTTATTTTAAAATGAAAGTGCTTTAATTAATAAACTTTCTGTTAACTTCTCCCTCTCCTGTAGTGTCACACACGCGGATAATCCCTGCATCAGGGAATGATTCTGTAACAAGAGATACCCATGTTCTTCATAGTCACGGAATGTGAAATATAACTGAATAATAACTGAACTGAGAAGACTTAGGCATACATTGTCAGGATAGATGACTCTGACAGTTTTTAAACTTAAATTGCAAGGTTTGAGTAGTTATCAAGACAAATTCTAGCAGCTCTACTGGTCCTTTTCTTGCATGGAGTACTTCTTTCAACCACGTCCATTTTGTGGGGGAAAATGCATCTATTTTTCTTTCTTTATACTTAGCCTTGGTAGTTCTCTTACTTTCTGTTTGTCTCATGTTTGTTTTCCCTGACCTTCAATATGAAGACTTTATTTTTAAAAATATGTCTTTTTAAAGAAATAGCGCCTGCTAGATACTGCAGGTGAACTCTTCACTGGCACCCCAGTTACCAAACATATTTGCATTGTAAATCCAGAATTCTTGCCCTGATGTACAAGGCATCTGGAAAAATCCATGGCAAGAAATTGTTTTGTTTCTAGTTATAAACCATGATGAATAGTACTTGGGGGTTTTGGGTTTTTTCCTCACCCCCATGATTCAAGCTTTAACTGAAATACAAAGTTACTAGCTGTATGGCTGCATTACTAGCGTTCTTTCTGTATTGGGGCTTTCTGATGGTATCTGTAGTGGTATTTATCTCTGTATAGGGCTTTATAGTAAGACATGTCTTACCTAAGTGCCTGCTGTGAAAAATCCAGAGTGGTAGTGAAACCTTTAATACATTTGATTAAGTTTGGTTAGGCTTGCTGGTTCTCCCTTTCCAGACAGCTTGGAATATAGCATGTTGCTTGGGTAGCTTTTTATATTGTTTCATGAAACTTAGGGATAGAAGACATCACTAGATCATTTAGTATAATGTGTTTATTTCAGACCCTTACAGGCAAAAATCAGTGAAAAATACTGATTCTCATGACTTGTCTTGTTTGACTCGTACCAGTGATGCACTTTAGCTTTTAGCATCTTGTTATGCAAGATACAATATTGATCAGAAAACGTTGAGATGCCTTCCGTTCTTCATGGTGTTTGTTCAGACAATTAATTTTACTGTTATATAGTTATATCTTAATTTCAGTATGGATTTCTCTAGCTTTAGCTTTCAGTTGTTCATTTTTAGCATTTTTCTGTGCTAAAAAAAGTTTTATTTATCTGCAGGTTTTCTTTATATAAAGCATTTCCTTAGCCCTTAATTTCTGTGGATTTTCTGTACTCTAGTTTTCCAGTGTAGCTGTAAGTATTGGAACCTGGGTTTGTATATAGTGTTCTAATGAATTATAAAATCACATTTCTTCTATTACTGTTCTGTTTACAGATTCACAGATTATCTTAGTTCCTATTGCTCTGATAGCTCGTTTCAGATCGCTTCTCCACCATAACTGCAAGCTCTTACATCAAAGGTTCCTTGCACACAGTCCCTCATAGGTGCAGATATGGCATAAGGCCCTTAGCTGTGTAATTTTAAAAAATGCTTTTGATTTGATTGGTCCCAGACTACCAGCCAGTCCATGTTCCTACTTCTTCTTGTACTTTCCTCTTCACTGTAAACCATTTTGATCAAATTTATGTAATCTAAAACTATACTGATGGTGACTTCACGTTTACTTCCAAATAATTGACAAATATCTTGGATAACTGTGCTTAGTATTAATCCATGCCAAAATGCAGTGTTCACATGCCTGCTCGGTAATGATTTGCTGACAGGCAGGTTCAGAAAAAATTAATTCATATAATGCATGCTTTTTTGGTCAGCGTGGGTGTGAATGTTCTGATCACTTAATTGTTACCTCTGAAGCCTAATTACGGCAAACTAAGTATCATCCGTTTCACTGATTGTTTTGGCAGGCCTGCTGAAAGGATTTTGAACTTGCAAGCTCGTGTGCTTTTTCCAGTTGTTTCAACTAGGCTATATGATGCCTCTCCCTACAAAAGTTGCTTCAGATTTGATGGAAAATATTCCACTGACATACAGTGTCATGAGGTTCATTTGCAAGAGGCATGCGTGTTTCATTATGTGTTTGTTGGAAGGCGAATTAGCTCTTAAATATTGGAGGTTTATTTCTAACCCTTTTATATGGGGATGAGATATTTTGGGGGAATAGGAAGTTTTGGGAAGGGTAGATACTCAGAGAAAAAGATGAAAGGCATCAAACCCTGTGAGAAGTTTTTTGTAGTTGAGGATATATTCATCACTGAGCATGTTTTTAGCCAGTTTGCTCAAAAATAAACTAGCTTCTAGGTCACAGTACAGCAGATGTATATATCTGTCTCCAACTCATGATGCATTCATATAATCCCATTGGCTTTATTATGAATACAGAAATGTGTATTTTTTTAAACCTGTGAGTGTTTGCCCCATATTTGCATTAATATTCAATATAGTTTGCTGCAT